GATACGTTGGCTATGGCTAACGGACGAGGAGGAGAAGAAGAGGAGGAGGAGGAGAAGAGGAGGAGGAGGAAGAAGATGACGAAGAAGAGGAGGAGCAGTGGAGGAAGAAGAAAACGAAGAGGATGGAGGAGAAGAAGAGGAGGAGGAGGAGGAGGAGGAGGAAGCAGCACACAGGGAAGATGGATGTTCAGGAGGAAGAAAAAACAAAACGGCTGATACGTTGGCTATGGCTAACGGACGAGGAGGAGAAGAGGAGGAGGAGGAGGAAGAAGATGATGAAGAAGAGGAGGATTGGAGGAAGAAGAAAACGAAGAGGAGGGAGGAGAAGAAGAGGAGGAGGAGGAGGAGGAGGAGGGAGAAGATGATGACGAAAAAGAGGGAGGAGAAGCGTAGGAGGAGGAGGAGGAAGCAGCACACAGGGAAGATGGATGCTCGGGAGAACAAACAAAAAAAAAAACGGCTAATATGTCGGCTATGGCCAACGGACGAGGACGAGAAGAAGAGGAGGAGGAGAAGGAGGAGGAGGAGGAGGAGGAAGAAGACAATGACGAAGAAGATGGAAGAAGAGGAGGAGGAGGAGGAGGAGGGAGAAGATGATGACGAAAAAGAGGGAGGAGAAGGGTAGGAGGAAGAGGGGGAGAAAAAAGACGACGAAGAGGAGTGAGGAGAAGAAGAGAAGGAGGAGGAGGAGGAGGAGGAGGAAGAAGCAGTGCGCAAGAAAGATGGATTTTCGGGTAATGGGGGGGGAACGGCTATGGCTAACGAACGAGGAGGAGAAGAAGAGGAGGAGGAGGAGGAGGAAGAAGACGAAGAAGAGGAGTGGAGGAAGAAGAAAACGAAGAGGAGGGAGGAGGAGAAGAGGAGGAGGAGGAGGAGGAGGAGGAGGAGGAGGAGGAAGAAGCAGCGCACAGGGAAGATGGATGTTCAAGAGAGGGGGGGGGGAACGGCTAATACGTCGGCTATGGCTAACGGACGAGGAGAAGAAGAAGAGGAGGTGGCGAAGGAGGAAGAGGAGGACGAAGACAATGACGAAGAAGAGGGAAGAAGAGGAGGAGGAGGAGGAGGAGGGAGAAGATGATGACGAAAAAGAGGGAGGAGAAGGGTAGGAGGAAGAGGGGGAGAAAGAAGATGACGAAGAGGAGGGAGGAGAAGAATTGGACGAGGAGGAGGAGGAAGAAGAGGATGCCAAAGAAGAGGGAGGAGAAGAGTAGGAAGAAGAGGAGGAGGAGGAAGAGGAGGAGATTGAGGAGGAGGAGGAAGAGGAGGAGGTTGAAGAGAAGAAGACGAAGAAGAAGAAGAAGAAGAAGACCAAACCTTCACAGTAGGGGG